CCAAACCCTTCATGCACACTGTCATCATCGTAACCTCTGGTTATAGTCTTGATGAAACCATTGAAATCGTCACGGGCGATGAGTTTTTTAGACTGCAGGATGTCCCCTGCCCTAGCACCCCATCCAGCTCCTCCCAAAACTCCCTCTTGACTTTGATTCCAATTTCCACACCCACAAATCATTTACTCCCAACGACTAGGAGAAGTTGGATCAATGAATTTGATCACATGATCAACTACAATAAAGCATCCGCAATTCGGACGAATCCCCTAACAATTCCTTTGATAATAAATGCAAGCATAGGAAACACTTCACGCTAGAACTATGGAAGCACTAAAGAAATAAAAACCGTAACATAGAGAATGAGAGATTTAGAGATTGCCTCATACCTTATGAATAAGTTGTAGGTTTAAAGTATTTTCCACAACCCACAGCATTCGAGATAACAAATGTTCAGATCTCAAAGCCTCTGCCCAAATAACCCTCTCATCCCCTTGAAGACATAAAGTAACTACCCTGCAAAATAACATCATAAGGATGTTGACAGAAAGATAAATTATATTGGAATGAATATTGAGTTTTCTAAATAAAACAACAGATTAATTGATTGAGAACAAGAAAACATCTAAGATTAAATTCATCCCTTAAGGTGAAAGAGATCCTACTCATCTCCAGGTAAAAGGGAGATATAGATGAATGGGTGGTAGCAAAGTTAACATTTAATGTTCTTAAATAGTATAAATACAAACTAACAATAAAAGCAGGAAAGAGTAAAATGTAATCTACCAAGGTGATTGGCGAACTATTTGACTAAACATTGTAAAATCTCTGTTGCACTAAATCAACAGGCAAAATCTGGTTAACAGTATGATTATCTTTGAATTCACAGTTGTAGTACCGGCATGCTTCACAAAGGCACGGTATGTCATCAAGAAACAGCTGCTCCAAAACTGCTTCAGTCAATCCATCTGTGGAAGAAATCATCTTCCTGGATAGTTCATGGCAAGCTAGGTTTCCAATGATTCCCAGACTAATTTCCTTTTGAAGTACATTCATGTCAGGAAAGCCAAAAAATCCAAATGTATGTAAGTACAAACCCGTCCATGTAAAACGTAAGAGACAAAATAAAATTAGAAATGTCATTATGTCACTCACTGTCATTCGCGCAGATTTTGAAACCAGAAGAGAGGAAAAGAGAACTTCAAGTATAAGATTTTGGACCTGTATTTGAAAAAAAAAACAGTATCTAAGAACTGCAGTGATGACTAAAAGTGTGTGGGGGGAGGGAGAGAGTAACTGAAAAGCAAAAATAAATTAAGAAATAAATAACTAAATAAATAAATAAAACCAAATCCATCTTAACCACTTTGGCTCTCAGCTTTAATCTATGACTCTATCAAATGCCAAAGACTCCATATAGTTTATGAGGATCCTAGGATATATTTGATTCTATGTTCACAGTGTCACAGGAGCCAATAAAAAATGAAGCTCGCACTGGATTAACTACAAACTTGAGTATCTCGATACTTTACCATGAAAACAGGGTTAACCCACCACTCCCAAAAAAAACAACCAAGAACCTGCATAGTGTTAAGATACAGAAAATGAAAAAAAAAGTAGAAAAATAAGCACCATGAATTCAGCATGAGGTTTACTTGCTGCAAGATCCCATAAAATACAACCACACTCTTGCCAGGCCTCTTCTCCTGCTGCTAACCCCTTCTCTGTACTTCCACAGCAGACAACATCTAACCTTTGAAATTTCTCTACTTGATCAACATCATTAGCAACGTCCAAAGATTTATTTTCATCATCTGTAGACATCCCTTCACAATTTTCAGATGCAGAAACTGAAACGGTCTTCAATTCTTCAGTTTTTTGTTCTCCAGAGATATCTCCATCTTTGTCGTCTATTGGTAGGAGTTTTCGTATCAAAGATATTACATAACCGGGATCAACAGTTGTTGATATATCAAACAGCTGCCGCATAAATACATTTCACAATTACAGTACAAACAGCTAAAATATAAAATTTTACTGGTAAAATGTTAAGAATTCAGCATTAATATACTAGTATAGATTGCCTCAACGACAAACATTTCTAGTATGGTACTGAAATGTACCCATGTGTGAGAACTGAGACCTGATCCTCTTAGGAAGTTTTAAAGGAAGATTTTTTAGTTGAACAGTGCCTTATGTTTCTTTAGTTAATTCTAAGTTCCAGCTTGGAATTAACAACTAGTTCAATTATTCAATGTCTTCAAAATTTTAGGCACTTCCAAAGTTTCAGTGTTTAACAGTATTGATGGACTCTAATAATAAAGTTATCTAGTTTCTTAGTCAATTGAGTTTGAGAACAAGTTCATGACCAAAATCCTTCAAAACAGATTAAAATTGATCCTAAATGACTACTCGACTAGTATTTGTACATTTCAATGCAAATGTGTACCATACTTGTTAGTGATTCATTCCTTTCCTTGTTTTTAACACATATGGAGTACATAACTGTACTTACTAGAGTTTTAGTGCAAGCATTTAGAAAAAAGCTATCAATGCCATGAGAATAGACCTGGCAAAACTGACCCAGACCCGATAACCCGAACCGAATAACCCAGATCTGAACCTAAATTGACCCAAAAATTGAAGAACCGAAATAGAACCAAACACCCGAAATGATCTGAACCAAAACCGAACCGAATGTATTCAGACCCGATTCAAATCCGAATCCAATTTAACCTAAACCGATTAAACCCGAAACAGATTAGACCCGAAATTGATCAAATTCATTAATATTTCATTTATCAAATGAACTTGGAGAAAAAGAATTACCAATATATTTCCATGTGTTGATGTGTTTCTAAAAAACATATTTAAATTATGGGTGCAAACTGTGCAACTACTTTCATGTACAAATCTTTTACTCCATATTTTATACGAGTAACTTAAGTTAAAGTGTTTTTGTATTTTATCGTCTTCGAACTTAAAGTTTGACCAACATCGTCTCTTAAAAAATATTAGCAAAAAATATTAAAATAATACATTTAAAGTGTTTTTCGATACCAATAAATCGGAAATAACTTTTACTCTGTATATTTTTATATATAGTTATTCAAATATTTGACACACAAAGTGAAATGGATAGTTAAATAGAAATAGAAGAAGTATGAAGTAGAATGTTAACTAAAAAGGTCGCACCGAAAACTTTAGGAGGGAAAACTTAAGAATGTAAACAATTAGTCAATTATGTAAGCGTTATTTTTTATGTACGTCCGTGTTAAATAATAAAATAACTATAGAGTATGTCATAAATTGACTAAATTTATTATGTGATATTATTGATTTATTAGTATATATTTAAAATATACCTGAACTAATATAAACCAAAACGATACAAACCCAATTCGATATAAACCCGACCTGATACAAACCTGGACCGAAACCAAAAACCAGTCAAACCGAAATAAACCCAAAACCGACCCGACTCGAACCAATTATAATATATATCCAAAAGAAACCCAAACCGAAAAGATCCAAACCGGAACCGAAGCGATTGACCCGATTGCCAAGTCTACATGAGAATGTGCTAATAAAGCTATAAACAAATACGGGGTACTCCCTAACAATATACACACTAACACATCTATTTAAAATGGTACAAGTTCACACTAACAATGGCATAACCAAGGGGATGCAGGGGGTCACTCGCCCCCTTCGCCCCTACACATCCCTAGATCCCATTTATATAACCATATATACTCACACATGTAAGAAATCTTTTATGTATAATATGGATATAGAACAATCATATAGGTGTTCATGAAGTGGAAAAGCTTTGTCTACATAAGTAGTATGTCTAGAGTGTGAGTCTAGTCTACTGATGAATTTTATGTTTGTTTCTTCTTTCATATGTTTATATCACTTACTAAAGAGCAGCATTTTAGTTAACAATAGTCGCAGCAAGGTAAATCAAAAGCTCTTACTAATTTACCCATCAAAACACATGTGTTAAGTCTCTCCGCAAATACATTTTATTACTTCTTTTTTTGGTTTGAAAGCTCACAATAATAAATAAATTAATGTTTTGAAAATTTCAATTAAATACACAATTTAGGAGATAAATGTGTTAACTTCAGAGCTGTAGTGTTCCTATGATACGAGCTAAAAAATCAACCTCTTCACTTCTCTAATACATTCTGATAAAGCTAATGAATGACTAGAATCCCTATGCATAACAGAATTCCTCAATTTCATTGTATGCATAAATATAACTCCAGAGGTAGATACAGAAATTGGAAATAGACACAGAGAGGCGAACCCTGATTAGGAAATGCTAACATATGCGCAGAAGAGAAAGTTAAAGCAAAACCTCATCAGATGGGGGAGGAGGATGGTGAGATAATGATGGCAGGGATTCTTGTTCTGCTCCATGCTTGTCTTCCGATGGTGACTCTGTGGGGATGATCATGTTCATCATGCAAACCGGCTAGACGAAGCAGAACCGCATTTACACAGCTCAATTCCAGAAGAAACTGGGGCTGCCTCTGTTCGAAGTTCGAACGGGAAAACGAGGTAAATAAATTGGATAAATTACCTTTGTATCCCATTTTATACACTGCAGTCTGCAGGTTTGCATCGATATTTTGTGGTAGTATAAAACTAATTTTTGTTAACGCACTAACATTTTGTATCCGTATAAATTTTTGTTAACGCACCAACACTTATATCGGTGTAAAGCATCAAAATATGCGTGTATAACTGCGGTGTACAAATAGAGTATAATTTTTGGTGTAAGTGTAACATGACTCAAACAAATTATCTTTCTTTAGCAACTTCTTCACCTTTATTTTTTTTCAAGCCAACCTAACATCATACTACCTCCGTCCCAGAGTATTTGTCCATTTTCTTTTTTACACATCATCCAATACACTTCTTTAATCCATTTTATCTTGTAATTTGTATATTAAAAAATTATAGAAATTATATATTAATAATCTATATGTTAAGACAAATCAAACAAGATCACACATGACTATATTTAGGCTTACACATTGAGAGAATTTGATGAGTCAAAGTGCTTAGATGAACAGTTCCAAAAGTCAAAACTGGACGAATACTCCGGGACGGAGGGAGTATTATTNTTTTTTACACATCATCCAATACACTTCTTTAATCCATTTTATCTTGTAATTTGTATATTAAAAAATTATAGAAATTATATATTAATAATCTATATGTTAAGACAAATCAAACAAGATCACACATGACTATATTTAGGCTTACACATTGAGAGAATTTGATGAGTCAAAGTGCTTAGATGAACAGTTCCAAAAGTCAAAACTGGACGAATACTCCGGGACGGAGGGAGTATTATTAATGTATCCATTAGAATACGAGGTGATACTGCTGGACGGGATCCCAATCAGACCTTCTCAGTACACGCTACGTTGTATCTAGCAAGATGATGAGCTACAAAATTACCCTCTCATTTAACAAAAACCAACTTACAGTGTTAAAAACATCACCCAAACTCAAAATATCCTCGATAGTCAAACTAAAAACACTACATCCAAATGTAGGAGAAGAAAGTGCCTCAACAGAGTAAACTACTAATTACTAAACTAGGAGTTATAATGTTAAAGAGATCAATACATACCATCAAAAAAATATTACAAAACACCAACATATAATGCTAAACTATGACATTGCCACAAATTATACAGTACAATAGCTTGTACAATTTTTCTGATAGAGCCAGCAATTAGATCGATGACGAAAGGGAATCCGAAGAAGCTTAGTCTGGTCGAGGAAGAATAGCCATTGTCTAGCGAAGGAGAGGCGCGCCGTCAGCCGCCACTGTCCGGCAAAGATTAGTGTGATAGAGGAATAAGAGCTCCGCCCCCGAACCATACTCTGTCCTCTGTCCCACTTTTAAATGGATGAGGGAACCCTAGGGCACTACTCTGGTGAGGTGGGTGGGAGAAGAAAAAAAGTTGGAATCCTAAGTCTTCACCTACTTGTTTGAATGGTGTAAATTATCTTGACGGGAATATCGCTCTTAGTTGGGCAAGAACGATAAACTAGTCTAGCAAAATATATTAAAAAAATAAATATAAGAATTTTGACATGGAAATCCAATTGGGAGAAAACTACAGGCCTTTTTTGCTGGTACATTGCCAACGAGGGATTTTTATTAATATCGAGGGTTGTACATGGTATATAGTATTGACTTAAGATCCACTAATGGAGAAATTGTGGGACTTCAATCTCATTAAAAGAGAAGAAAATATACAATCTAGAGAGAGTGTGGTAGGAGAGCTGTGAAATTGCCTCTCCCATATTGAAGGCAACTCCTTCTTTTATAGGAAGGAGGAGAAGCATCTTCTGGGAATTATTCTCTTATTTGTTCATTCTAATAAACATGCCCGGTTTGACTGTTCCTCAAAAATAATTAGGAAATGTGGGCTGAGCCACGTATTATTTTCCATCAAGAAGCTAAGTCCTCCACTTTTTTAAGTTGTGAGAATCATCAACTTAATAAGTAAATAAATCCTCCGAATGTTATCTCCAGTCTTCATACGTTGCGTTCTTGAACGTTTGATTTTGCTAGTCCTCCAAGTTCTTCATTAATTCTCTGACTTTGAACCATATGCTATTCTTGCAAAAATAATATATACGACACTTTGGCTGCCCAATTCCGTGCTGAAACATAATAATTATCTCTTCAGAGAGCTCGGTGTTAGAGCGAACAAAACAAGAGGAAATAACCATCATAACAAGAGCGCTGTTAGTTTGAAGAAACAACGATGCTTCAAGTGGTTAGTTTGACGAGACTGGTGTTAGTACGATGAAGCAACGATGCCTCAAATAGTTATTTTGATGGGACTAGTGTTAATACGAATTAAGTAAACGATGTATAACAAAATTATTTCCCGTGTATTTATGACAAATACTCCTTTACAAGTAACAAAATACTTGTTTTACATATTTCCTTATGTTAGGTGAAATGAGTATTGTATTACTTGTAAATATACATTTTGTATAAACGTAATGAATGTTATTTAGTTCTCAAAATAAGCATACATATATTCTATAATGTACATGTTCTTAATAAAAACTAAAATAATAAATATGAGAAATGAGAATTTTATTATTCAAATGAGCATTGTACATTTAGATATATGGGTAGGGATTCTACATAGCTCGTCAATTGTAACCTGCATTGTAGCTGTCGATTTTCCACAACAATTTCACTTTGAGGCCTTCTTACCAAGTTAATGGGGTCCCCAACTCTCGTGATTTGTTTGAATGAGAAAAAAATAAAGAGGAGAAACATAGAGTAAATATATTTGGATAAGAAGAAAATGAAGAGAATATGAAAAAAGAGATATCCTCTTTCCTTTAGGTTGGAGAGAAAAGTAAAAGAATTACAACATAACATTTTTATTCTTAGGGCATTCCTATTGCATGAAGTGTTGAGAATCTTTAAGAGTCTATCACATAAGTATTTTATTATTTTAGACTTTCCTCTAGATTTTTTAAAAATTACAACAATCATGAGACTCTCTCAAACTTTATCACATTGTATTCCCCTATCTTTTATTCCATTAAGCCTATTTCCATCAAATGAATTTTATAATTTAATGTATAGTTGTATAATACATTGATTTTTCTACAAATTTAATTTATAAATATAATAACCATTAAAAAACTCAACAATATTAAATATTACAGAGTACTTATTAAAATTTGAGGAAATTATATAAAGCTAACACACAAATTCCTTAAAGTAAAATGAGTACTTTGGTGAAAATTTGTCAATGCACATCAAATGTAAATTGCATAAAATTAAAAAAAGGCACAACATATGTTTTTGGTTTTTAACACTTTCTATAATTTTTTAGTTTTTAATGTTTTTGGTTTTTTTACAAGATAATAGTGGCTAATTTTTATTATTAGAAAATAATTGTAATTGAATACATGCGTTTGATTTTTATTGAATAATTTGTGTTGAGACTTGAGAGTTTTGAAAGTGAGTTTGAAAATTAAAACACTTCATTTTAGTCTTTCCCCCAATTTTTTCTTTCCTAATGGTGGAGTTTAGAAAAGACAAAAGAGTCTTAAACTTTTCACATCTGAATGATTTTAATCTAATAAGAACAAATTATGATCTAATCGGAATATAATCCTTCTATTTAAAACTACAGAATATAAAAATTGCCCCTCTCTCCCTAACCGGCTAACCCTTCTCTCCCCCCTCTATTTCCTGTACAATTGACAATTCAAACGAAAGAAAATGTTTTGAAATCCGACTTCACCTCTACTTATTTTTTCTTTCTCTTCACACTCTCTCCATCCAAATGCAGGAACAATTTATGGATCTGAATGGGCCAATCGAATGAAGGCGTGTGGGCTCGACCTTCATCTCTTCAGTCTTCCGTCGACGCCCATGGCTAGCTAGGTGAGAACCGGATGTTTTTCTTTATGGATATAGTGACAAAATTTCAGTACAATACAAGCAAAATTACTTCACAAATTACAATTTCAAACTTGCATGTTTCAGATTTTGTTGATGGCATACTAACCACTATACTGCACACAACTTCCCAATAAAAGTTTAAAACTACACAGAAATATGCAATTGTCCATAATGCATAATGATTTTTGTGGGACAGAGAGAATGTAATTTTGTACAAATCAGTGAATATATATATTTGAAAACTTTATAAAGTGAACACTTTTAGTCGGCTACTTTCAGGGGAGATGACTTCAGAAAAGATTTGAAAAGAGTGAAAACTTCTGATGGGGATGAGGACGGAGTAAAATGAGATCCACCCCGCACTGATGCAAATGTTAAGTATGTGACGTTTTTCCCTTCTCTTAATCTCCCAAATGCTTCACTCCATCCTCCAACCTACAAACAAGTACTTGGAAATGTCATTTAACTGTTTTTTTAAGCCTTGCAGTTTCAAAATAAAATTTACACTTTTAAGTTTGTGTTAAAACAAGTTTTATGTACGAGCGCTTCTATGGTGCACATTGAGTGCATATCATTTTTGTGTGCCTTCTCAGATAATTTTTTAAATTTTTTATTAAAAAAAAATGCTTATTTAAGTAGTAAGGAAATGCTTATTTTGATCACATGTAGATCCACCATACAATTTACTTTTATCTACACCTTTTCCCAATTTAAGTCTAGAAAGAGTGTTTTTTTGGTGCAACTTTGGATGCATATCATTTTTGTGGGGCTTCTAGATCAAGTGAAGATAACATGACCTAAGGCCAAGGTTTGGTCATATTTGAAAAATGCAAACATTTTTAAAGATTGAGCAAATTGATGCATAAAAATAGAGGTAAAAAAAATGGCACCAATAGAACTAGAAAAGTAGAGTAGGTGGGCATTACCTGGGGGCCATTGTACCATGGTCTATTCTTCTGCATATGGATGAGCTTCAAGTCTTTTGCAAGCATGTTTGTAAGTTTTCGAGTCTCCATGGTAGGCACATTTAAATCTTGATCTCCACTATACATATATATTGGAGGAAGAGAGTGATATAGATGATGAGTATATTTACACTGAAAAAGTGCACCGCATATCCCTAAATTCTTTTGAAATTGCACGATTTACCTCTAAACATTAAAAAGTGTACCAAACATCTATGAACTTTTGAGAAATTATACGGTTTACCCTTGAAAATTGAAAATTTTACCAAATAATTCTGAACTCTTCAGAAATTGCACGGTTTATCCCTGAACATTTAAAGAAAAATGATGATTTTGGGGAAGGGTACTTTGGAGAATTCACAAGGTCCAGAGGAATCATACTCACAATTCCCGTGCGTGTGAGCAACACACTCTCTATCTAGCATTTTAGGACCTACAGTGCAATGTTTTAAATTGTTTAGGGTTATTCAGTGTACTTTTTAATGTTCGAGTAAATTGTGTAATTTTTGAAACGATATTTTTTTAATATTTAATGATAAACCATGCAAATTCTAAAGAGTTCGAGGATAAACGGTCCATTCTTCTCTATATTTAATTAAATACAAGGTGTGTTATTATAAGTTCATGAGATTTTCATAATCCCAATATTGAGTAAGAACTTGTCACCTGTACAGCAAGACTCGGATATGTCTCTTTAAAAGTGATGAGAGTGTACGCAAGTTTTTAGTACTATATGCGTCCACCACAGGCCACAGATGCCTGCATTTTTCAAAATGTGTTTATTGAATGTTCTTAGCTTACAATACAATTGTTAGTTAGGATCTCCGAACAATCGACAATAATGATGGATGCGATGGAGTTGATAAGAAAAAGAAAAGTACCCTTGACATTCATCCCATTTGTATGGTAAGTGAGTGTTGTTGATGTGCAAAGCTTTTTGAACGTCTACTCTGTTTAAATAGACCTTTGCATAATCAGAGAGGCATGGATCGCCAATCATGTCTTCATCACTAGCTACCTTCACAAATGGAAAAAAACTTTACTTGCAAGCAAATTGTTGGTAATCAACAAGATATATATAGAAGCAATGACCTTGACCGCCTTACCCTTGAACCAAACATAGTATTAAAGATTTACATGTGAAGTCCTAATAACTATTGATACGAGTTTGGAGGTGTGGATTATAATATGCGTACGTCTTCAATTATATTAGAGTTGTGGTACCTGCAGTCCACAAACATACACCACTTTGTACACCAGTGCAACACTGGCAAATCACTGATACATGCACAAAATGTCAGTGAGGTTGTCAGCGTCACATTAAGAGTTTGTGTCAGTGCTGCGTACAAAATGGTGCTCATTTGTGTGGTGTACAAGTAGCGATATTCAACATATTTTCATTTCAAGCACTTAAGAGCACGAGTTTTATGGCAGTAGGCAGTAGCTCTGTTAGTAGGGTTCAACTAGTTAGAGTGTAGGTGAATGGACAAAATAATTTGAGACGGATGGAGCATATACATATCTATTTGCAAGATTAAGAAATCAATTTTTAGAGGAGTAAACTTACATGTTGTGATAGTGAAGAGTTTGAAGTCACACAGTAGGAAGAGAGGAAACTCTCGAAGCTGAAGTTGACCCCAAGCTCCCTGTCCATCACATCCATCACTTTCCTACAATCTTCGGTCAACGCGTATATCCCGGGACGATGGCCCTCGTAGAACGCTCTTTCGAGGCTACAAACCGTCTTTAGCATGGTCCGAAACTCTTGAGAAATGGCGCCATGGTACCATAGGAACTCCGTCGCATACTTTTGAGGTTTACCTATACCCAAGTTCCCAATCTGAAATGGTTCATTCACACTAAGTACTCCCTCTTGATTTACACAACAGTTCTAGCTTCTGATATTGGGAGCCAATGTCATAATATGACATTATCCATCAAAATTTTGGTGGTAGTTTACCATCAAAATTTTGACAGTGAATTGTCACCCGAAGAGGGTGGGGTAGGGTGTAAGAGTGAGGTTTGAAGGAGAGATAATTAGACGTGCAAGAGTTATTATGGAGTCGAACGGAACACTATATAGACACTTCAAATAGACCTAATGTAATAAATTATTACTAATAATATTATGACATTAAAATTAAATATCTATGATGTAAGAAAAATTAACTCACAGCTAGGCCTTTTAACTTGATTGGAGTAGCAGTGTTTTTGTTGCATTCAAGCACTAAAGCAGCAAGTTGTGGTAATAGGTGCCCTGTAAAAATATTTTTGTAGCAAAAGTTGAATATTTTTGTGATACAGAAACATTTTTAGGAGTATGTATGGTTATAGGATAAAATTGTTTACCTGCAGAAGCTTCACCTCCCAAGTAAAAATCCGAGTCCTTGTATTTGGGAAATTTCTCGAACCACTTGAGGAGGAACTTCATATTTTCATTAACTATATGGTAGTGTGTCAAAAGAATAGAAACAAATCCGCGGTTAAATTAGTATCACTTGAAAAAATTGTACATATTGACAGTGAAAAATTGAACCTGTCATTGTATGATTCCATATTTTGTAGTCTGAGTGTGTGTCGGAGTACGAAAAGCCAGTTCCAACTGGGGAGTCTATGTATAACATGTGTGACTCTGCTTGTTTCAAGATTAAGACATTCAATACATCCAATTACTTCCAATGAGAGTATCTGTGTGTGATATGATGAAATCTTTGAACACAAAAGGGTAAAAACTAAAATGTTACCCATGTTCCAAGAGTATTTGTTTATTGCAAGTTTCCCATCTCTTTTTATCCGAAATGGACCATTTTCCGTGAGCACAGCTTCACCGACAGATGAACAACTGCGCGCTGATTGTTTAGAGAACACCCAGTTATGAATTCAACCATTAAAAAATTTAAAAAACTATAATGACACCACTATATTTAATCATAATATGGTCTACTATGAGACACAATGATGCCATGTTTGGTGTTATACTGCTATCCTTGGTGTGCCTATAACTTAGCTCTATAAAATTTATCAACAAAAATGCTAGGAACTCATCACGGGTGCTCTCACGAATGACAAACACATATATTTTATGGATACACAAATTCTAATCGTCTATGGACCCAATAAAATCATCTATGATTGTCATTCGTAAGGGCCACTGTGACGAATTCCTAACATGATCCAATTTATCAGTCATCTTAAAGGAAGAGAACTTATATACCTCCACCAAGCCAAAGTGTAAGGGGCACAAGTGCGGGGGATCGTTTTGATTCCGCTTCCAAAAAATAGTAAAATACGTATCTTCCATGAGAATCATCTGTTAGTATGTACCCGGAATATTGTTTCAATCTAAGTTCTTTGGGTTGTTGAGGGAGAGAGCTTATGGGTTCTGGGGTTGTTTTTGAGAAAAGAAGACATAAAGCACAATAAAAGATAAACCATAATAAGGCCATCATTTTGCCCAAAAAACTTTTTTTTATATTTGCTGGCTTGATTATTTCTTGATTGTTTGTTAGTGAAACAAATTTTTTTATGTACTCCGCAGTTTAAGCATGAATAGAAGCAATTACATACGTCCAAAGAGCAACTGAATTCATGGAGAATGAATGACTTGGAAAGCCAAATATTACTCCAGTACGCACACATTCCGTCTTGTGCTCCTTTGACTTGGCATTGCCAATATTTGGGAGGTTCTTTCATTATTTTCTTTCCCACATGTCAAACTCCTCATTTGTACAAAAAAAGAAACAAATAAAAAATATTGTAAGAAACTACACCTTGATTTCCATGACATTGAAATTCAATATCACAGGATGACTCGAGGTTCATACGATGTTCCGTTTGAAAAATTAATGGTTCCTGCCCCTATAAATCTCCCGGTAAACCCCCACCCCGGCCCGGCCCGAACATACCCCTGCACCCCTGTCAGTTGCATGCCACAAGATTTAGTTGACTTTGGAGTTAAGTTTCGACTCTAAAGTTAACTAAATCTTGTGGCATGCAATTGACGGGGTGCGAGGGTATGTTCGGACTGGGCCGGGTTGGGAGTTTACCGGAAGAGTTAGAGAGGGTAAGAATCATCAATTTTTTGAACGGAGAATCGTAGATGCCCTAATCGAGATCATGTCATAGGATGACATGGGGGTTCATGTCACCCGAATCGCCCCGAAGAAACTAAGTGGCGAAACAAAAGTTTTGTCTATACACGAGAATATTATTCATTCCCTCATCCCCATCTCTCTTCTCTATTCCCCGACTCTTTCTAATCCTTCTTTTTTCTTCTTTCCTCTTCATATATATCATCATATTCCTCTCTTCATTTCACTCCATTCAAGCAACACTAATCTTTTCTAGGGGTGTTCAAAAATATTCGATCTGACATTTTAGCTTTTGAATATTTCGAATTGGATATTCGGAAAAAATCGGATCAGATATGGATAAAATATTAGGATTTCGGAAATGAAGGATATTCGAATGAAAATCATATTTTAAAAAAATAAACATAAAATTAAAGCTCCCACAACCTAGTGCATCTTATTTTTATCATCATAAATCTTCAAGTCTAAGCCTAATTTAAGTTTTCTACTCTAATTAATTTTTTTGTCTATGCTTTATTTGTCAATAATGTTCATACTTTTTTTTCCACACATCTATAAAATTTTGACTTATGATAACACTATCAAGTTAAATATGACATTATACTTCAAGATCATTCCAAATAGTTTTTAGAATTACTGAAAAAATAAATATTAAAATTTGTTTCGGATATTTTATGTGGATTTTACTAATATTCTTCTATTCTAAATATATACTACTCCGTATTTGATAAAGTAGTAGGAGTATAATAAAAGGTTTATTAAATATATATATTTGTCTTTTAAATATATGTTTTATTAAATATATACTTAGTGATCTAAGTACTCCGTATCATTTTTATATGTAAAGAATTAATGATTCTTTATTAAATACTATTTGTATTTTAAATATATATATATATTTTACTTAAATATATATAATAAGTAACTTCTTTATATCAAATACTCTGTATAAATAAAAAATATGAAAATTTATAGAGATTGAGAGAATACCTTGTTTATTATAGAAAAGGTTTATTATATATTAAGAGAAATCTTTATTAATTTTAAGTTAAGTAGTTGATATAATTTTAAACAATTATAGTGTATCAAGGCAAAGAATAAAAAACTCCAAAAGAAACTTGTAATTCTACCCATCTAATAAAAACTACTCCTTCCATTTTTTAAAACACTCTCTTTCATTTTTTTTGTTTTCCCTAAAACACTTTCACTTTCTATTAAAAAAAATCATGTTTACCCTAATTTTTCTTATTCTACCTATCACATCATACTTTTTTACTAATAACCTATCCATCACATCTTATTTCTACACCTTACATCGAGGGTAAATTAGAAAGTCAACTATAAATATACACTCTTATTTCTTTTAAAAGTTAAAATAGGAATTGTTTTATGAAATAGAGGGAGTATGTTATTGATATAATCTGAAATGCTTAGGGATATTAGACTAGACTATAAAATACTTGAGTTGAACAATATTAAAAAATTGAATTCAATTGATTACTCAGTTCAACTCAAGAGCTTATATATCTGTTATTTCTTTCTCCCAAGCTAGTTACCACGTGGCGGGACAAATGCATCTAGCATCTCAATCTATTATAATTAGCACACGTAACGAGGGGTGGATTCTCAATCTTTTATATCCAACTCAATCCAAACATGGACGGTAGCTTGTATCACTAAACCCATGTGTAAACAATCAGGATGAATTGAACCCGAACCTGACATGCTCTAATACCATGTTCGGCTGGTCGTGCACGCACGCTTGCTAACGACCGCTGCTGTTGTTCGTGCCCCCTTCTCTGTCGCTCCGTATTCACCGTGGACTTCTGGTTGAACACTATTATCAACGTGCACCGATGTTGGGCTAGTCCAAGTGCCAAGTAGGTTATGCCAATTACTACTTGAGAGGGTGTGTTGGAACGTTATTGTCCCACATCTTTATAGACTAGAAAAAATATGCCCAATATATAAGCTCTGTGGTCTCTTCTGCCATGCTAATTGGTTTTGAGATGACATCATCACACAATCTAATGTGTTGGGCCTATCACGCAAATGACACGAATCAAGTGCACCCTTCCTTACGATGATTAGCCACAATTTAGGTTCGTGATAATAAATTTTAAATTTTTTTATCAGAGTCTTGTTCTATTTGATACTTTGATAGTGATAGAAAATATTACTCTCCTTTAAAAACACAATAAACAACACTTTGATATCATTATGGCCCTATAGTTCTAATCTTTAAGTTGTAAGAAAAAAAAGGTCAAGGCTACGCGCCTACGCCCCAATCCCCAAACGCAAACGGCACCCTTCTCGCCGGTCTTTCATCAGTTTGTCTTCGCTCTGCGCCCTTCGCCTTTTCCATATTCACTGCAATCGCCTGATGCCAGGCGCCAGGTCGCCGGCGCAGCGGCATCCCCTGAACGGCCTGAAGTAGTCGCCCAACCTTCCGCACCCTCAGCCCTCAGGCCTCAAGTCCTCAACAGGTTCTAATTGGGGCTTTAATTTCGTACTACGTATTTCTAATTTGGGTTTTGGTTGAGAGATTACTACTCCATATTTATCACTTTGCCAATTTTAGCATTTCGTGTGTTCAATTACAAGCAACTAAGGATATGATTCAAAATTAATGAGTTATTTTTTATCATGTGCTTGTAATACATTGCTTGATTTGGCGATTAATATACATGTGCATTCCGTTAAAAGGGTCATGCTTGGGTGCCCCAATGGTTGCTACCAGGGGTGGGTGCACCCCTAGTAGCAACCATTTGACGGTATCCTAGCATTTTTGTTTTTTCATTATACTCCCTCCGTTCTAGACTATGAGTCCAGTTTTGACTTTTTTTGGTAAACGTAACTAAGATCAGAAGTATATGTTATTAATTAGATAAAACATTATTTTAGAAATGATTTACCAAATAAATCTATTTGAAAAGGAAAAAGATTTTGTAAAATAAAAAAAATCCACAAAAGTAACTAAAAGTATAACAATTTGGATTATAACTCAAGCCAAATTATTTCGATCAACTAAAAGAACTCAAGCCAAATTACTTTAAAGTATAATTAATAAGTATGTCAGTTTATAGTTATAATTTGATTTATTTGAGTAATGTGCCCACCCGATAGCTATGTCCTGGCTGCACTTAATAACTATGTTTTAGTTCGACTTATATGTAAGTCATGCAACTCCAAAACCTGTCTTCAGATATCCAAGTTCTCATTCAAATCCCCTGCAATTCGCCCATTAGGAATTAGGATAATGTTGTCAGCAAATAACATGCACCAAGGTATAGGCCATTGAAAATGCTCGGTAAACACTTCTAACACTAGTGTATAAAGATATGGATCGGACTAGTGTTTTAGAATAATGTTTTCTAAAGCATCTCATGTTTTATCCATTTCATTTGATCCAAAATTCGGATTTATTCGATCCATAGAATCAAATCATCCATTCCTTAACATGTTTTCAGGATTTTAAAACCCTTATTCATTCACTTCATTTAATAGATCAGGAAAAAGTAACACAGAAAACATAGATGGAGCTATACCATTCATTGTTCCTTGGTATGAGTTCAAACAAAAGAATAAAAAGAGTATGTCACTACAACAATACTTGTTGCAAAACAATGAAGCTTAGTGGTTGAAGACGCACCACTTCAACATCTACTTGGCTACGAGATGATGGTGTGACTCAAACTTACAAATATGTTTGCAAAATTTCATTACATTTCAAGCAATATTTCTTCATTTTTTGTTTTTGATTTTTTTCATTTTAAAGATGCAACTGAAAAGGTCAAAGGTGTAATAACTAATACTAGTATGTTAGATACAACTTCTCAATAAGATATATTACACAACACTAATATGCATGTCTGAAAAATATGAATCATATGTAGCTTTGTACAAGCCTGTGAATATGTATCATGAAGCCCGGGCTATTTGCGAGTGTGTTATGGATTAGATCCCTTTAGAAAATATTTGAAAAGGGTTAAAACTTCGGACGGAGAGCTAGTTGGAGTAAAATGAGATCCACCCTTCACCGAAGCAAATGTCAAGTATGTGATGTTTTTCCCTTCTCTCAAATTTCCATATGATTCACTCCATCCTCCAACCTATAACAAAGTAATTTGAATGGTTATTTTGTTGTTTTTTCTGTCATTCAACAGCTTATTAAAGGGTCCGTTTCCTTAGTAGAATTTTCACCTTCCAAAAAATGTTTCACGTTTGACTTAAAACGAATATCAAGAAAAATGAAATTGTATTGTTGAAAGTGTTGTAGAACAAAGAAATAATACCAAAAACAATGACTTTTCTAAAAATGGAAAGTGACACTGTTTTTTAGACAAACGGAAAACGAAGTTTGGTTTTTTGTGTGGGAATGAAGGTTATTACTTAATTATAGACTAAAAAAATTAATAAGGTGTCAATAAAACCATGGAATTGAAGTGGGAAATACCTGAGGGCCATTGTACCATGGTCCATTCTTTCTCAAACGGATGAGCTTCAAGTCTTTAGCAAGCGTATCCGCTATTTTCCGAGTTTCTACGACGGGATAAGTCACATCTTGATCTCCACTACAATTACTTGTTAAAGTCAGCAAATTTCTTCCATTTTGTTTCCATGCATATCAAATATTTTAAAAAATAATTGTTGTGAACCACATATATTTAAAGTAAGAGAGTTTGTGATGCTTATTTTAGGACAATCCAAAAATAAAAGCGACACATTTTTTAGGAACAGAGAGGGAGTAATATTTAGAGTGTTTAGTTACAAATAGTCACCTGTAGAGCAAGATTCGGATGTGTCTCTTTAAAAGTCCTGAGATTGTTTGAATGATTTTAGTCCTATATGGGTCCTTTGAAGGCCTGTCAGGCTTGAGACCCCTGCAAGTTTTGGTTTAATTTGTTTACTATTTCACATTATTAGCACACAAAATACATTTCTAGTACTATAATAATGAATTGTGGTTGATTAAAAAAAAGTACCCTTCACATATTTCCCAGCTATGTGGCAAGTGAGCCTTGTTGATGTGCAAAGCTTTTTGAACTTCTGGCCTGTTTAAGTAGACCCTTGTGTAATCAGTAAGACATGGATCAACATTGATGTCTTCATTAGCAACCTTCATCATTGAGACAATTTAGTTAGAAAGTACTGCGTATTTTGATTACTATTTTTTGCAGGAAAAAACGGAATTACGACAAAAAAAATCAGACACATACAGATATACTCCATATCTTACTAAAATTGTAGTAAGATATATTTCTTCCGTCCTGAATTAATTGGTCTTACTTCACTTGTTTTACTCCATAGTTACCTAATACTCGTAAAATAAAGAATGTGTGGTACACAATCATTCTTTTTTTTAATAAACAAATTATAATTAACCACCAATTTTTTTACTTTTCGATACTTCTCTAGAAAATTCTTGTAGTCAACTATGACGATTAATTCGTGAAGAAAAGAGTGAAAGGATTGCTTACATGATGTTTTAGTGATGAATTTGAGTTGACACACACGGGCATGAGCAAACTTTCCAATTCGATGCCGCCCCCAAACTCATCGTTCATTTCATCCATATTTTTCTCACACTTTTTGGACATATTTCCACTTTCGCTTTCATGAAAAGCTTTTTCTGGGGTACAAACAGTCTTTAGCTTGGTGTACATTTCTTGAGAAATGACTCCGTGATACCATAGGTGCTCAGGCAGATATTTTAGGGTGCCTGAACCCATGTTCCCAATCTGAAATGGTTCATAGAAACAAGTACAGATTATTGAACAATAAGTACAGTTTTTGAATTTGGAAATGGACATTTGAGTAAATAGTTAACTTATGATAATGCACGCAAAAAAAAAAAAAAAAAGAACTCACGGCAAGGCCTTTTAACTTGATTGGAGTAGCATTCTTTTTGTTGTATTCAAGCACTAAAGCAGCAACTTGTGGTGCTAGGTGCCCTATAAACAGATTTTTGAAAAAAAAATGCCGATCTTGACTTGAAAGATTTTTAAAAGTATATTTTATGGAGTGTGTCTATATATATATATATATATATATATATATATATATATATATATATATATATGGAGTATATATATATATACTTCGTATATATATACACTACCTCCGTCCCGGAGTATTCGTCCAGTTTTGACTTTTGGAACTGTTCATCTAAGCACTTTGACTCATCAAATTTTCTCAATGTGTAAGCCTAAATATAGTCATGTGTGATCTTGTTTGATTTGTCTTAACATATTGATTATTAATATATAATTTCTATAATTTTTTAATATACAAATTACAAGATAAAATGGATTAAAGAAGTGTATTGGATGGTGTGTAAAAATGAAAGCGGACAAATACTCTGGGACGGAGGGAGTATATATATATATATATATATAGATTTTGGTTCTGGTGAGAATGCAATCTTAGGAGAGAAATGAGAATGAATCTGGTGCTTTAGATTGTGAG